TCACTGACCCTACCTTTGAGTCCTCTGCTGCGTCTGCTCTAGTCGCTGAGCTTGTGGACTTTGCTGCCGCCTGTCGTCTAGACTACGCCGCTAGCCTTGTTGCTGAGTCTGAGTCTGTCTGTCCTCCGTCCGTCGGGGGTGAGTGTGCTCTTGGCACGGACGTCCTTGAGGACAGACAGGAGGAGTTTGAGTGCTTTGCTACTGCTTTACCTCATCTCGTGTCCATGCTGATTGCCCCTGAGGGAGACCCGGATGCACCAGACATCCCGACCCCACGCTCCTACGCAGAGGCGATGGAGGGTCTCTACTCCTCTCAGTGGCAGACAGCCATGGACGCAGAGATGGCTTCCTGGAAGTCCACAGGCACCTACGTCGACGAGGTTCCCCCACCTGGGGCGAACATCGTCAGTGGCATGTGGATTTTCAGGGTGAAGCGGCCGCCGGGTGCTCCGCCTGTCTTCAAGGCGCGTTACGTTGCTCGAGGCTTCAGTCAGCGAGAGGGAGTTGACTTCTTCCAGACCTTCTCCCCGACCCCGAAGATGACCACTCTTCGGGTTCTGCTGCACGTCGCTGCTCATCGTGACTACGAGCTCCACTCTCTTGACTTCAGCACTGCGTTCCCACAGGGCAGCCTACACGAGGAGATCTGGCTGCGCCGCCCACCTGGCTTCACTGGGTCGTTCCCTCCTGGTACCCAGTGGAGCCTCCGGCGGCCAGTCTACGGTCTCCACCAGGCACCCCGTGAGTGGCACGACACACTGAGGACTACGCTTGCGGCTCTTGGGTTTGCTCCTTCTACTGCTGACCCGTCGCTGTTTCTACGCACCGACACCACTCTGCCGCCGTTCTACGTTCTCGTGTACGTCGACGACTTGGTCTTTGCTACTGCTGACACTGAGGCACTCGCCCACGTGAAGTCGGAGCTGCAGAAGAGACACACGTGCACAGACCTGGGTGAGCTGACAAGCTATCTTGGCTTGCGGATCACCCGAGACAGAGCACAGCGCACCATCACCTTGACTCAGTCACACATGGTGCAGCAGGTCCTTCAGCGCTTCCGCTTCACGTACTCCTCGCCTCAGCCCACTCCTCTGCCTACTGGTCACTCGCTCTCAGCTCTACCTTCGGATGAGTCCGTAGAGCCGAGTGGCCCGTATCCAGAGCTTGTGGGCTGCCTCATGTACCTGATGACCTGCACTCGACCTGACCTTGCATACCCTCTTAGCATCCTAGCACGCTATGTTGCTCCTGGCCGTCACCGGAAGGAGCACATGGATGCCGCTAAGAGGGTGTTGCGCTACTTGTGCAGTACGTCGGGCATGGGGCTTGTGCTTGGAGGACGGCGCGACGTTGTCCTCACTGGACACTCAGACGCTTCTTGGGCTGACGACCAGGCTACGCAGCGGTCGTCTCAGGGTTACACCTTCAGCCTTGGCTCTGGTTCTGTTTCCTGGCGTTCTACACGCTCTTCCTCTGTTCTCAGCTCCAGTTGTGAGGCTGAGATCTACGCCACAGCCATGGCTGCCCAGTAGCTACGCTGGCTCACCTACTTGCTGACCGACCTTGGAGAGCGGCCTCGTTCTCCTCCAGTGCTGTACGTCGACAACAAGGCAGCCATTGCCTTGTGTCAGGAGCACAGACTGGAGCACAGAACGAAGCACATAGCTCTGCGCTACTTCCTTGCTCGAGAGCTGCAGCAGCGTGGTCAGCTTCGTCTTTCGTACGTGGCCACTTGGGCCAACACTGCTGATGTGTTCACCAAGGCGCTTCAGCCTTGTGATCATCAGCGTTTCTGTACTGTTCTAGGCCTTGTGCCTACTATCCCTCACTTGCTCACTTCTTGACTCTGCTTGTACTGTGATCTCTATATATATACCTGCATGCTTACACTTGCTAGGTTGTGATCACTGTACCTCTTGTTATATTATCAAACTGCATGTGAATTGGTCTTGTGACCACTTGCTCGTGCTCGGAATTTGTGTGGCATCCTTGAGATCCACCCTGAGCTTGTTTTTCTTTGCTTTGACTGGTCTTGTGACCCCTTGCTCTCCCCCACTTAGCCTATGGGGGTGTGTCAAACATTATATGTTTACATTGTGTAGGCTATAGTGGGTTTAGCCTTAGGGGGTACAACATTCTAGGGTTTCCTACTTGTACTCCCAATCTTGTTAGTTCACACACACTTGTTCATTCTAACAATTGGCGCTCCACTCGCGCCATACTTCGAGCTCACGGGAAGATCTCCGAAGCAGCACTCTGCGCCGAAATTCACGCTGAGCAGCAAGACATGGACCTGCAAGAGGAGCGACACAAGAAGAAAACGTCAGTACCCGAATTTGCGTTTCACACCCAACGGCGCTACAACAACAACAACAACCGGCATCAACCAAAACCCGTACCTCCGTTCTGTCATATCTGCAAAACTTCAGGGCACCCTCGCACACACTGCCCGAATCGACAGCAATCAACACCACCACAACGTCAACTTCGCCCTTCAAGCAGTCAGGTAGCGTCCACACAGGCGCACTCCACAAGCCAGTCGCAGTCTTCAACAGCATCGCCAACACAATCTGCACAAGGAGCAAGAAACATCGTCAGCTGCATGGCAAGATTGTCAGACTCCTGCGTCACTGAATCACCACCGTACTACTCACCAGAAGAACAACTCGAAGAACGCACTCCTCGCCGCGAGACACTGGAGCCGAACCCGACATACGCAGCCATCGCCCAAAGTGAGCCGTCCGGGAAAGATACCTGGTTCTTGGACAGTTGCTGCGGGCAGCATATGTGCTCCTCGGGTCGCTTCGTTCAATGGGAACACCAACTTCAACGGGAAGTCGTGATCACCGTCGCCAACAACCAGAACCTGCGCACACAACGACAAGGCGTGGTTCAACTTCAGTCAAGGGAGACAAACATTATACTACAGATGTCAAAGGTTTTAATCGCGGAGGGACTCGGCTACAAATTACTGAGCGTCAGCCAGTTGATGACGAAAGGCATCCATCTCGAAGCAGACAGCACCACTCAGGAGTTCAAGCTGTACCACGGGAAAGGCGGACTCTACATCGGCAAGGCCGTGCTAAAGAACAACGTGTTCGTCCTCGACTTTGTTCCAGACTTAGGCACCGCCGACAGCGACGGAATCGTCACCTTCACCTCCTGGACGCACCCACCGGATCTTGATCCTGACTTCAGTCCCGAAGGCTTCTGGTATTCACATACTATTCCTGAGGCAGAACGAACAAGAGCATTAGCAACGATTCAACACTCGGCAGCAGCAGAGACAACATCGGCAGCAGCAGAGACAACATCGGCAGCAGCAGAGACAACATCGGCAGCAGCAGAGACAACACCGGCAGCAGCAGAGACAACATCGCCACCAATCGCAGGACCTTCAATGGCACCGGTCTTCGTCGACAACACACCACCGACTTCTGCGCAACAGCTGAACCCAACTCCACGAGAAGTCCATCGAAGTGCAAACCACACCGCTGGGTTCTACTCCAACTCCGACTTGTACCGCCGCTCACCCGGACATCGCGCTGACGAAGATCTCTGGCATAAACGAATGGGACATCCGAGCAACACGACGTTAAACAACACGATACGAGCAGGCGTTCTTGACAAAGACTCACTGCTCTTACCCGACGGGAGAGAACTTCGACGAATGAGAGGAACCTGCTTCACCTGCCCAGAAGCTGACTTACCGCATCAGCCCTTCGTTTCTCACCACAACCCGAGCGCACCAGCTTATGCACCACTTGAGAAAGTGTACAGCGACATCCTGTACAACCGCGAACCTGGACAAGGAGCATACAACTACACCATAACGTTCATCGACGCCGCCACTCGTTATGTCTGGCATCTCAACCTTTCAAGCCGCGACATGGCCTTCGAAGCATTCGTAGCCTGGCTCCCAGTAGCAGAACGGGAATCGGGAGTTAAGCTGAAGAGTTTTCAGTCTGACGGAGGAGGAGAGTACACCTCACAGAGGTTCAAGCAGTACCTGGCAGAAAAAGGAATCAAGCGGCTCATCTCCCTTCCCTACGCCCATCAACAGCAGGGTGTAGCAGAAAGAATGAACAGGACCCTTCAGAACACCATGCGCAAGCTGCTACGTGGCATGCGGCTACCCAACCAACAGTGGCCCGAGGCAATGGACCACGCCGTGATGCTGCACAACTTGCTTTCGTCATCATCGCTCCCGAACAACGCATCACCGCATCTGCTGTGGACAGGAAAACTGGGCAGCACAAAAATGTTGCGAAATTTCGGCTGCATGGTACAGTACCGACCCCCAGCTCCACGCGCCGGCCGATTCTCCCAACGTGCACAGTGGGGACTACACCTGGGCATTGACAGCGTCGCGGTGCTCAATCGACCCAGCTTTCAAAAGAAGCGAGCTCCGTTGTTCTCTGAGCATTGTCTTCCGAGTCGTTCCAAAAACACACTCGCATCGTCCCGCGAAGTCCCGGGACTTCGGGCCCCGAAGATAAGACCTCGAGATTGCCTGCTCCGTAACCTCGATTGAGTTGCCGATTCTTGTCAGTATCGGCCTTCGAAGCGCTTTTCAGCAACGCGTCGATTGGAATCCGACTCGCTCAGACAACATCTCGGAAGTACGACCTACACAAGCTACTTATTGTTTAGCAGGTCGCATTACGTATTAAATCCTCAAGGATCCGAATAGAGACCCTGAAGGTTGCCTCGCATCGCGAACCAAGAAAATATATTCAGGAACAATGGCGCCGCCGTTTCACTCCGATACGAAGAAGCTCGATACTCTCTATAGCGTGGGCGAGGAGCGGACGGTCGTACTCGCTATAGACACTTGCAAGTCGTGCCTAAACGCGTTCGACTCCCTCGCTGCCTCCTGCCACAAAACGCAATCATTCCTCCCCGCGAATCTCGCCGCTTCTTCTACGGAGTTCCAACTCAAACCCACGGACCGCCTTGTGGTGGTGTTCCACCACGCGAACCACACGCCCATTAGCATCATGACACGTGGCACTGGAAAGCTTCGCGACGGGTCAAACGACAGATTGAGCGACAAATCGAGCGACAGCCAATCGGAAAACAGCCCCGCGTCGCCGTCGACCCCGCGGTCCATCTTATCTGCGCTCCTGAGTCCTCTGGCCGCGGGAAGCTCGAAGCTCCGGTCGACCTCCGCGTCCGGCGGCGACGATGGCGGCGACGTCAGCGTCACGCCGCCCAGGCTAAGTAAGCGTCATGATTCAACTTCTTCCAAATCCTCGCCATCCTCGCCCTTCCCCACCCCATCCTCTTCTCGCCTCGTCCTGACAGCGCCCGCTTCCGCCTTTCCTCTCCCCTTTCCCTTCTGCCTTTCTTCTCCCCTTTCCCTTCTGCCTTTCCTCTCCCCTTTCCCTTCTGCCTTTCCTCTCCCCTTTCCCTTCTGCCTTTCCTCTCCCCTTTCCCTTCTGCCTTTCCTCTCCCCTTTCCCTTCTGCCTTTCCTCTCCCCTTTCCCTTCTGCCTTTCCTCTCCCCTTTCCCTTCTGCCTTTCCTCTCCCCTTTCCCTTCTGCCTTTCCTCTCCCCTTTCCCTTCTGCCTTTCCTCTCCTCTTTCCCCTTCCCGCCCAGACCTACCGCGCCACCAGCTGTGGCGACCGCAGCTAAACCCTTCAAACGTGGTGCGGCAGATGCAAGAGGCGGGGCGCGCAGACGCGGCGCCGGTGGTGGTGATGGCGCTGATGGCGGAGCGGGAGGTTCGGCGCGCGCTGGCGGAGAGGACGGCGTGGGATCGGCGCACCAAGCGCGCGGTCATGCGCATGGCGGCTGTTGCGCGCGCGTGCAAGGTGAGGGAGGAGGAGGAAGGTAGGGTTGGTAGGGAGTGCAGAGTGAGCGCGCTGAGGGAGGATTCCACGTGGGGTGGCAGGGCGTGCAAAGCGGAGATTGTCTGGCGAGGGCGCTGGGGCTTTCACTGTTCAGGCGCCTTCGAATCCGCGAGTCGGGGGCGTGCAACTTGAGGGGCATGCAGGGTGATGGTGATGGGAATAACAAGCTGCAAGGCAATGCGAGATGCGAGGGATCCTGATGAAGGCGGTGCATGGTGGCACGGCTTCTGAGGGCCTGCCTTGCACACATGTGCTCCATGCTTGCTCTCATACTCTGCGGCGTCATCTCCACATTTCCTCCTCTCCCCCTGGCGTTTGCAGATTCGGTTCGAGGCTATCGACCTCAGACATCGCAGGGGAGCCGGACGGCAGCAGAAAACGGGACACGAGTCCCACCCTATCCACGAAATCGCCGCCCTCGGATTCTCCGAGAAAAACCTCTGAAAAATCACCGCCGTCGCAGGCACTCTCGTGGGAGGCGAAGCCAGAAGCGGTGATCCGGTTTTGTCGGCATATCAACGCAGAGCTGCTGCTGCTCCCCTCCTCCCATGCGTGTAAAGCGCTCAACTTCTCTGGCAAATTTGCCTCCAACAACTTCACAATTCACTGTGCTGGAAACGCACCCTGCCCGGTGATTAAGCTTGGGGGTGATCTGGGTGGTGACAGGAAGGATGTGAGAGCACGCAGTTGTATACGGCATGGGTTGGTATCGGTGAGGCAAACTCAGGTGCCTAGAAGTGCCACTCTGGGTGATCTTGTGTGACAAAACCCTGTTTTGTACAGCAGGTATGTTATTGTTTGTACTATGTAAGGAAATGTTAAATTCCTTCAGTCATACATACCTGACTTCATCACATACGGTACAACACTGTTCACAGGCTCGACCAGTAATCTTCACCCGTTATCGGTCAACGGTGTTCTCCAGCTTTTGTCAAACCATGTACCCTTTATATGCGTTGGCCTACGCTTCAGAAATAGCCCAAGATGTGAGAATGTGAAACAGCGGAATGAATGAACTAGGCAGCAGGGTGATACAAATAGGAAACCCTGGATTTGTTGTACCCTATACTGTGCACCTCACTGCAGCCTAACAAACCTAACAAACATATAAACATGTTTTGACACACCCCCATCGGCTAAGTGAGGGATAGCAGTGTTAAAAACTGAAGTGATGATTGACTATTGTGGGTTGGGGTACATGAACCTAACCCTAACTGTTGTACCCCATATGACACGCATTACTAAAGGCTACATCATTTGACACACCCCTATAGCTTAAGTGAGGGGTGTCAAGCAAAACCAAAACCGTACGGTCACAAGACCAGTCACAAAGAAACAAAGCTCAGGGTGGATCACAACTTCACCACACAGTCCGAGCACAAGCAAAAGAGCCACAAGGCCAGTCCAAGAGTTCACAGAGGTATATGCAAAGTGTACAACAAAACAAGTAAAGTCTACACAAGACGAGAATCTGTGTCAACGAGACCTAACTGCACACAACATCTGTGGTGGTCAAAAGGCGGAAGAGCCTTGGTGAAGATGTCTGCAGTGTTGGCCTCAGACTCCACAAAGTCCAAGCGAGCCTGTCCACGCCTCTGCAACTCTCGCAGAAGAAAGTACCTGATGTTGATGTGCTTCACCCTGCTCTCCAGTCGAGGCTCTCGACAGAGGAGAATCGTAGCCTTGTTGTCAGTAAACAAGGTCGGTGCAGAGCTCGGCCGCTCACCAAGGTCTGTGAGCAAGAAGGTCAACCAGCGCAGCTCCTGTGTAGCCATGGCTCCAGCGTAGATCTCAGCCTCAGCAGTAGAGGTCGATGTCAAACATTATACATGTTACTGCTGTGTAGGCTACAGTGGGTTAGCCTTTAGGGGGTACATTACTCTAGGGTTTCCTACTTGTACCCTCAATCTTCCTAGTTCAATCATTCTTGTTCTTTCTTAGATTCTAACATGGTATTACGAGCCTAGGTCGTAACCTAGGACCGACTGATAGGGCCCACCGTTTCCGTTCGTCGCGCCCGAGCGCGCCTTGCCTAGTCGCGCCCTCGAGTGCCCTCCTCTCATCTGCACTGTAGCGCGCCCTAGCGTGCCCCTTGCGAACCGGCCCCGCCCAGCCCGCACGCCCTAGCGTGCCCCACGCGATCGGCCTCGCCCTCCTCGCACGCCCTTGCGTGCGACCCGCGCAGCCCCACGCGCGTCGCCTGCCCCGCGCGCGCCCTTGCGTGCCTCGTGCGGCCCCACGCGCTCGCTGCCCCGAGCGCCCTTGCGCGCTCCTCGCGTACCGGCCCCGCCCTTCCTCGCGCGCCCTTGCGTGCCCCGTGCGACCGGACCTGCCCCACCCGCGCGCCCTTGCGTGCCCCTCGAGTACCGGCCCCGCCCCACTAGCCCGCCCTTGCGTGCCCCGCGCGACCAGGCCCCGCCCCGCGTAGCCCTGCCCTTGCAGCCCCGCTAACGCCCGGCCCCACCCGAGCCGCGCCGCCCCTGCCTTGTCGCGACGCCCCTGCGGGACCCGCGCGGAGTCGCCCCTGCCAGCCGCGGCGCCCTTCCCTACCCCGCGCCCGCCCTTGGGACGGCCGCCCCTGGCCCCTGGAGCAGCCGCCACTGCAGCAGCCGCCCCTGGCCCCTGGAGCAGCCGCACCTGCAGACGCCCCTCGCCCCTGGAGCAGCCGCCCCTGCAGCAGCCGCCCCTGACCACATGGAGCAGCCGCCCCTGCAGCAGCCGCCCCTGGAGCAGCCGCCCCTGCAGCAGCCGCCCCTGGAGCAGCTGCCGTCGCGACCCGGCCCCGCCCTGCAGCAACTGCCGCGGAGCCTTTAGCCGCAGTCTTGGCCCCGCCCTGCAGCAGCTGCCGCGGAGCTCCCTGCCGCGGCCCGGCCCCGCCCTGCAGCTGTAGCGGCCCCGCCGTCTTGCGCCTGCCCTTCCCACCACTGGTGAACACTGCCCTGCCTGCGCTGCTACCGCTGCTACTGCTTTTACTGCTCTTACTGCTTCTGCTACTGCTGCTACTGCTGCTCCTGGCGTGGCCAGATACAGCTCCAGGGCCGTCCGCGTGAGTCCCTCACGCCCCAGCAGCTTCGTGAGTGGTACGCTCGTTGGGGTTGTCGGGGTGGCCGTAGTGGGAGTCGCTCTGGAGTGGGTAGTTCGGGAGCTTCTGGTAGTGGCCAGGTGCAGCTGCAGCGTCGTCCCCGCGAGGCTCTTTCGCCCCAGCAGCTTCGTGAGTGGTACGCTAAGAGTAGAGGGTCACTGAGTACTGCTCGCTGCCCGTACGTCAGTCGCACAGGTGTCCGGACTGGTCAGCCTTGCGGGACACGTGGTCACACAGAGTCCCACTGCTTCGCCCGTCTGGGCGACGCTTGGCGTACAGAGTTTGGCGACGCCGCTGAGCTCCCCTCCTGGCTGGAGCTGCTTAGGCAGAGGGTAGATATCTTTGCTCTTGACTATGATGCTATCCTCACTGCCATGTATGCATTTTCTACTAGTGCTGAGAGTGCCTGTCACCTGTGTGTGCCGCCTGCTATGCATTTTCTACTATGCTATCCAGTCTGCTGCTCTAGGTACTGGTGAGGCTGCCGCACTAGGTGCTCGTGTGTGTGTTGCCTCAGGTGCTGGTGAGGCTGTCGCTCTAGGTGCTAGTGTGTCTGTTGCCCCAGGTGCTGGTGAGGCTGCTGCTCTAGGTACTCGTGAGTCTGCGCCCTCTGGTACTGCGTCTACTGAGGCACTGCACACCTTCACACTGGACTCAGGTGCTTCCCGCTGTTTCTTTCGTGACCGCACTGCCCTTGAGCAGCTTGCTCGGCCGGTTGCAGTCTCCCTCGCTGACCCCTCTGGGGGTCCGGTCATTGCAACCTCCTCCACTGTCCTCCCTTGTCCTGCGGTCCCGTCGGGCACACTGTCAGGTCTCTACCTCCCCTCGTTCTCTACGAACTTGGTGGCGGGTCGTGCGCTCCAGGACGGGGGTGTCCACCAGTTCACCCCTGCCTACGAGCGCGTGACACACTGCACGTGTGCTCGGACGGGTCGCCACCTGGCTACCTTCACTCGGCAGCCGGGGTCGGACCTGTACACACTGACCACTGAGTCCCCCCAGGTAGCTGCGTCTGCGTCTGCGTCAGGTCAGCTGTCGGCCCCCTGCTCGTGTCGCTCCCTGGCGCACGAGACCGTCCTCTGGCACCACCGCCTTGGTCACCCGTCAGTGCAGCGCCTTCGTGGCATGCACTCCCGGTACCTTGTCTCTGGTCTTCCCAGGGTTCTCCCTCCCCTCCCACCCTCGCCTGCTCCTCCCTGTCTTCCCTGTGTCGAGGGGCGGCAGCGCGCCGCTCCTCACTCCTCCTCGTTTCCCCCGACGACTGCTCCCCTGCAGACCCTCCACATGGACGTGTGGGGCCCAGCCCGCGTCCGTGGACAGGGTCACGAGAGGTACTTCTTGATAGTTGTTGACGACTACTCGCGCTACACCACGGTCTTCCCCTTGCGCACCAAGGGTGAAGTCCCTGATGTTTTGATCCCTTGGATCCGCGCTGCCCGTCTCCAGCTCCACGAGAGGTTCCACTCGGACTTTCCTGTCCTGCGTCTGCACTCTGACAGAGGTGGGGAGTTTTCCTCCGACCTCTTGAGGGCTTTCTGTCAGGGGGAGGGCATTGAGCAGTCGTTCACGCTTCCGGCCTCTCCACAGCAGAATGGGGTTGCTGAGCGCCGCATTGGCTTGGTCATGGAGGTCGCTCGTACCTCCTTGATCCATGCGGCTGCCCCCCACTTTCTGTGGCCGTTTGCGGTCCGGTACGCCGCGCATCAGCTCAACCTCTGGCCCCGTGTCTCCTTGCCGGAGACCTCGCCCACATTGCTGTGGACGGGGAAGGTTGGCGATGCGTCGCGTTTTCGGGTCTGGGGATCTCGTGCTTTTGTCCGCGATACGTCCGCGGACAAGCTCTCCTCCCGCGCTGTTCCTTGTGTCTTCCTTGGCTTTGTCCCGGACGCGTCTGGTTGGCAGTTTTACCACGCCACCTCGCGCCGTGTCTTGCCCTCTCAGGACGTCACCTTTGACGAGTCGGTCCCCTACTACCGCCTCTTCCCCTAGCGCACTGCCCCGCTCCCCCCCCCGCCTCTCTTCCTCGCACCAGGTGCTGTTGTGGTAGACC